TCCTGGACCAGTCCTGGACCAGTCCTGGACCAGTTCTTCTGTGTTGAAACTTGATTCGTTGTGGTGAGTAGCTGCCATCTCAAATTCTAAACTCTCTCACTTTCTCATAGGGAATTTCCCATGCATAATCAACATGCATTGTGGGAGATGTAGTTTATGGTCAATGTTGGCTTTTAAGCTGCTTATTTATTACTGTATTATCCAACAAAATTGCTTACTTAAAGCCAACAGCTCAGGGGCAGGACAACTACTATTATATTTCACTTTTAAATTTGTTTATTTTGTTGCATTTTTTCATACATTTAAATTTTACCAAYGACATAAAAACAATTTTTGTATTACGTAAATAAAAACAAAGATTTTTTTTGGGAGGAGGGGCTTGGCAGGCCAGCAGGCCACCTTGAGTTTGATATAAATAATATAATATGCGTGATAAAAATAATCTAAACATAGGATTATGAAGATAAACTGAATCCTACTTCCAATTTAACTTTAAAAAATGCAGCTTCAAAACGTTTTATGAATTTTTCAAAAATATATGAATTTTGAGAACTTAAGACAGTTTGAGTATTTTAAAAACCATAACAAATCCTAAGTATTTGTCCTAGCTAGGGTTGGACAACACTGGCAAAAAAATTCATCACGATTGTGGTATTTAGCCGATAACGATTAATTTGATGATAAATCCCCTGGAGTTCCTGGACACCCTTATGTGCTAGTCATATGACCAATTTAGTAGGAACGATTTGCTCATCGTAATTGTGCCAAAATTACAGACTTCAGGCTACACATCAAATTTTAAATTGTGCTGATAGATAAATAAGTTACAGAACTTTTTTAATGTTCGTCATATTTGAAGCAGAGAGGAGCATCAAGCAGACTCTGCCTGGTGGCATTAATCGTATTAATCATCAAGTGCCAAAAATAATTGATTAATGTTTTTCTGGCGATTAATTGCACACGATACGATCATGCCCAACCCCAGTCCTAGCCCACATGATCAGGACTGGTTTATGCTGCAAGATGGTTGAGCATTTTTGTCATAGTTTTTACACTAAACAGTCATTTTCATGCATGAAAACCTCCAATAAAACAAGATACTGACTGAAAGTGAATTAGAAAAACAGTAAGATGATTACCTCAAACATAAAAGGCTGGTCATGAAACAACATTGCAATGTACTTGTAATCAGCATAAGCCCAGTACTCCAAGCAAGAATACTCAGAAAAAGGCCCCACATCCTTCTGACCACGAGTCCAGTGGAGAAACTGAGCCACAGTGGCTCGAATGTAGGAACACTGGCTCTCATAGAGGGGGGCTAAAGAGTGGGAGAAAACATTAAAAACATTGATAAGAAACTGAATAATCACTAGAAGACTTACAGTAAAACAATTAATTGTAGTAAAACAACACATTTTATGTACCAGRATCTCAGAACTGTGCATCATCAAAGGCCAAACATTTTCACCCATTTCATTTGTCAAATGAGYTTGTTTTATGTCACATGGCATTTATAATGTGCTAATATAAACGCCTTCCTGTCATGTGGTGCAACTGATAAAGATCAATTGTATATCTAGTTAACAAGGTTTTATTGGAGGACTCACTCTGTCATTTATGAGACAAACGAGTCATTACTGCAGCTGTCACGGGGCCAAACGGAGAACAAAAGGCAGCTGATTTTAAAAGACAGAAAAACGCTACATAAAATGCAAAGATAAACAGAATGCAACAGAAGCAAATCACCAAATTGTGATTGTTATGGAATAATTATGTGTATCTGTTCTACCTTGACACTGTCCAGTAATCATATCTCATGATAACTAGTTTCGGCTGTTTTACTCTATCGGCCCAGACTTCAAGACTCCAGCAATGCATGACCTCTTTTATTCTGATAAGGTGTTTCCAGGCTGACAGTCCTGTCATTGGTTAGATGGTTCACAGTTGGYGAACTGTGATTGGTTGTGAGCATGTCACAGGATGTTATTTTATCGGCTGCTCTCCACTGATGAGCAGCCACAACTTGACAGACTTCTCTGATTGACTTCTGCTCTGTTGTTGCTCAAATTAAATCATTTGACGACCATACACGCAGACTTTCTGTGCATTTATTCCAACGTGTTTCTGCATTCTTGGTAAATMGTGCCACCACAGTGATTTTATGCACAGTTGTGAAAAAAGCAAACTGTTTTACATTAAAGCTGAGAAATTCTGTTGTTTATCTGTATGTCACCAAGATATAGTCTCCTCTAATTTGACAGCTGGGAGGCTGAACTACAAACTAGTCCCACTGCTCTTTGGACAAATAACTGAGCATTAGATCTGCACAATACTGCACATAAGCTGTCTAAGCTGATGGGGCGGAAAGATTTTGCTTCTCTATATGTTGCTTAGCCAGGTTTGGGCAGAAAGACAACTTTTGCCGTCCTCCACCCAACTGGTACATAACCGTTTGCTAAATAAGCAACATATATTCTAGTGATTGTGTTCAGAAGTACATCCAG